GAATGTGGTAAAGCACATGGCTTTCAAACTGAAGGGTCCAGAATTTCTGTGAAGACTTGGATATTTTTAATTTTAAGGGAGCTCTGCCCAACTCTAATGGGTACTGACAGTAGCTAGTGAAGTAAAGTCGTTGGTCGCTGTTCTGGCCACATGTCATCCTCATTAACCACCTACCATAAAAAAAGATCTCCTTTACATCATTTTCCCTAAAAAATTGCAGTCTTTTCTTACAAAATTTGTAGTTATCTAATGTTGTTGTTGTTGTTTTTTTTTAATATCAAAAATGAGGTTATCAATGGACCTCCAAATGAACCATTTGACTTGACAATTAGGATTGCTGTCAGGTTGTGTGCTATGCCCTCTTGACAGTCATTTCACTGGTCCTGGGTTTGAACCCTGCCCATAGCCATTCCCAGTCATTGTGAGGTTTGGGCTAAGGCATATAAATGATCAAATCTAAGGAACATTCAAAACATGTAAAACAAAACAAACCATTAGTCAAAAAACAAAAGAGTTTCCAAGGAGACCTTCTTCTAATTATTGGATTGGTCAACTGGAAAGCTCCCCACACATCTTTCTTTTTTTTACTCTTGCATGTTGGCTAGCACTTGGGATAGTTGGTGCTGCTACACTAGTGGTTGAATATCATGTTTAGCATTTTGTGTGTAGGCTTTGCTTAGATTGTATACCTTATGACATTAATTATCTGACCCAACCTATCTCCTCTGTATTGTTTGCATGTTTAATATTTTAGTTTGGTATTATTTATAAGTATGGGCTGTACTTGTAATAAAGAACAGTCAATATTTTATATTTTCCTGAAGGTCTCTCATTAACAAATGTATAAACCATATTACTTGTAGTCATTATTGTAATAACTACATATGTGCTAATTTATTTTTTTTACTTTTCTCTTTTCTTTTGTATGGTATTGCAAAAGAGATATGAATTTTGCTTAAAACTTAAGAAGAAAAAATATAACTATATTACAACTACTATTCTATTCTTAGTGAATGAAAACACAATTATACCAAGTTTTGCTCTGCCACTAAGAAAATAAGCAATGACCTTTCAGTTCTATCAATATTTCTAAAACTTGATTTAAATAAAAATTAACACTTCTGCTCACAGGCATATTACGAAGCAGCATAACTTTTTTTTAATTCTATTAGATTTCGAAAGAGAGTATTTCTGGAAGTGGACAGATTTCCTCAGCTATGTCGAGTTCATTGCTCTTTTTTCCCTCGTCATTGGTTTGTTGACCTACATTTTCTTAAACAGTGTGATATACGTGGAGCTTCTGGGATTCATGGCGGTCTTCACTGAAGCTATGCTTGGCGCTCCACAGTTTTTAAGAAACTATCAGAAGAAATCCACATTGGGCATGAGGTAAGAGGAAATTATGCTGTCGTTCGTATATCAATATAAGGTTCACCTTAAGCAGCATCTGATAAATAAATATTGTAAATTACCATTTTAACTTTTTGCTGGGTTTTTTTTTTGTGTGCATGTTATGTTCTTGAGCCTACATTATGTTTGTTAACAGCACCATGTCAATTAAATTACTAGTATTATTATCAATAGTTGTGTGATGGCTGAGTGGTATTTTGCTTGGCTTCCAAACTGAGAGGTCCAGGGCTCAAATCTCAGTGAAGAATGGGATTTTTTGTTTTACGACTTTAAGGAGGCCCCTGAGTCGTTTGTGACTTTAAGGAGGTCCCTGAGTCGACCCAACTTTTATGGGTACTTGACTTAAGTTTGGGAAAGTTGAGGCGATTTGTCGTTGTGCTGACCACATGACACCCTGCTTGCTAGCTGTTGGTCAAAGGAACAGATGACCTTGATATGATCTGCCCCATAGATCACAATGTCTAAAATGGGGTACTCTATTTTTATAGGGATATTATATTCACACAATATTGTAAACTGGGCTGTGATATGCTAACAATCCTATAAATAGGGTTTTGATTAATTACTTACTCAGACTTAGATCATCCTGCACTGTTTGGTTCATTGGGGGAGGGGGCATGCTGTGGCCATAGAGATTGGTCACTGGCAACCTTTTCCCAGCTGGGATTTTATTATTTCAATTTAAAAAATGGCCAAGTTTATTGTAATTTATTAATACATTTTTTGTTTGTTTTACAATTGTTGGACTTGAGTTGTTTGCTTTACAATTGTTGGACTTGAATATTTGTTTCAACTAGTTGTAAAAGTGTATGTCCCTCAAATATCCTTGCTTTCAAATTGAGTCTAGGAATGTTTTTTATGTCTCTTTATTAAAAAAAATGTTTTAAGCTATTTATTGTCTGGAGATATGTAACTTTTAAATGAACTACTATTATAAATGTTGTTTTCTATTAATTCAGTCGAAAGATGGTTGGATTCTGGACATGCGGCGACTGTTTCAAAACTGTTTACTTTATCCTGAGAGAAGCTCCAGCTCAGTTCTGGATTTGTGGTATGCTACAAGTCTCCATAGATATATCTATTTTCCTTCAGGTAAGGAAATAATGTAACCAAAAAAATACAAGAGCTACTGTTACTTGTCAATGATAATTATGATATTAAAGAAGTCTTAACTAGAATCTTACTGCCAGATCCTAATACATGTCCTAGCTAGTATCTTACTTCCAGATCCTAATACATGTCCTAGCTAGTATCTTACTTCCAGATCCTAATACATGTCTTAGCTAGTATCTTACTTCCAGATCCTAATACATGTCCTAGCTAGTATCTTACTTCCAGATCCTAATACATGTCTTAGCTAGTATCTTGCTTCCAGATTCTAATACATGTCTTAGCTAGTATCTTGCTTCCAGATCCTAATACATGTCTTAGCTAGTATCTTACTGCCAGATCCTAATACATGTCCTAAGACTTCTTTATTGATTCTTATGGAAATTTGTTGTGATTACAAGGACTCTTTTCACATATAAAGACAACACAACAGAAAAATACACATAACTATAACAGACTTCCTCATTCTAATACACTTCCTAGATAGAATCTTGACTGGTACATCTGAAACTATTACCCACACACAAAGAAGAAGAATTATCATGATCTTCCAGTATATAAAGAGACTTTGAGCTGCAACTTTCTAATACCATTAAACTTCATAATTAAGCCCCAATCTAATTTTCATCAGATAAACAATACTTTCTAAAAGGGGACTTTAACATCAACAGATTTTAATGGACCTAAAACCAAAAAAAAATTAAAATGCAGAAAATAGAAAATTAAAAAAAAAGCTTTTTTAATATCTGTTGTTATTATTGATCTATGTATTATTGATACACATGTGAACACTTATTTTTCGTACACATTAAACTGATGACTTGATAGAATAAAGAGATGAAAAGTCATCAAGATACTAAATGTGAAGATAAGATTAAGCAAACTGTAGTTAGTAAAAATAATCTTCCAGAAAGAACATGGGACAATATAGTATTGTTAGATCTTGATTGGTGAGATAATCTTCCAGAAACAGCATGTAATAGAGCTAGAAGGAGGCGCGGTGGCTGAGTGGTAAAGCGCTTGGCTTATGAACCAGTGTGCTAGGTTTGAATCCTTGTAAAGACTGGGATTTTTAATTTTGGGATCTTTAGGGCGCTGAGTTTCACCCAGCCCCAATGGGTACCTGACATTAGTTGGGGAAAGTAAAGGCGGTTGGTTGTTGTGCTGGCCGCATGGCACCTTCATTAACCATGGACCACAGAAACAGATGACCTTCACATCATCTCAAGGTCCGAAAGGGGAACTTCTACCCAAAAATAATGATAAAGTTTTGATTAACATTTTTTTTTCTCATATACAGGTGTTCTTCTATCGTCACAATAACGTGCCTCCCATCGACAGAACAGCTAAGTCTGCCATCAGCTGACCACCTTGACCAGCTAAATGAGAGAGAAGTTTGTTGATCTGTTCCTTAGACTCAATTATCTCTTGATTATAGAAATGTTTTCTCCTGTGTGTGACCAAGACTGAGTTTATTATATATGTTTTATAAACATTTGGATTTCTATAAAAATGGTGATGAAATGCTCTCTGTATAGTTGATGTATTCAGTACAAGTGAAATCCTTGCTAATATAAACACAAATTTATTTTAAGGATTTCTTGTACAAGAGGGGGGTCAAATCATTCATTTCATTATTTCAAAATATTCATTAAGACGTAACCCAAAAAAAATTTGGAATGTTTGTTATTAATTTGAAAGTATAGATGATAGTATTGGCACATTCGCTTTTAATGCTGTTTTTGTTTTTTTTATTTTATGACTGTTATTTTATATTTTCTCAGATAAATATATATGTATTGAGTTCAATTCTGTTTTATGCTAATGCAAGCTAGAGGAAAAAAATGAATATTCATAGGTTGTTTTTTTTTTTTTGTACTTTGTTAACATTCTTCTGAATATTTGAGTGATAGAAGTTTATAGGAAAGTGATTAGTGATAGGCATTTGTTTTGGTAGCTGTACTAGTAACAGGCTTAGTACCTAAAGTAAAATAATGTACCAGAAATCTGAATCCAAACAGTATCTTCAGTAAGTCAGGAGAAAGGATAGAAGTTCAATTTTTTTTTTTTTTTTTCATTTATTTCTGTATTTTAATTGCAGTATTTCCTAAGGCATTACATAATTAGACTTTCCAATATATTTGTGCCACATTGACCAAGAAGAAGAAGAACGCACATTTTAAATCATTAACATACAGTAGGGTTGGCACGCAGTATAATGTCATTTGTTTTTTTAATGGCTTGTTTTAATGCCGTTCTTTGGGTGCATGCTGGTTTGATTTTTTATTTTTTTATTTTTTTTTTATTCGAATATTAAGTTTTCTGTTTAATGAGTTTTACCCCTTTAGTTCTTGATGCAATACTTATGGCAGACTAATAAGAAATTACTGGTAGTTTGTTTTTTTTTTTAACTTTTTTATAAAAAGAGCTCTTCCTGTCTTCTCCAGAACAAGAGAAACTGAACTAGATTGTTTTGAAACAGTTTTTTCATGTGCTTATGTATTTTTTAACTTCTTTTTTTTTTTTTCCCCGTGTTAAAGGCCAGCAATAAATAGGGACTTTTAATTAGTCTTTTTTCTTCTTTCCTTAAGCATGAGCCATTGTCTCCGGTAATGAAAAATTTTCTGCCTGTCTTCAACAAGGGTTTTTCTTTTGGCCTCAAATGTGTGTCCTGCGTCCTATGTAATATCACTGCATCTGTCACTTTCAGACGCAAATAGATGCCAGCTACTAATCTGGTATTTGGATGCCTCATGCCAAAGGCAATCTTTTATTTGGCAAGCTTGGAGGAAGATGGTATCTCCCCTTATAAAGATCAACTCGTATGTCATAATGCCCTGGCTGGCATTGAAAGGATATAATTTTGATTTCTAAGGTTTCTTTCAAAACTAAAATAAGTTAGACTGCGCTATAATATCTGCACATTCCTGGTTTATACTTTAATTCTATAATCATAAAATGTTTTTTTTATATAAAAGGTATGAAAGGAAATTAATCTATATAGGTTAGTGGGTCGTTACATGATGTTTAAATTTATGTATTGTTTCGTCTTATTTTTTGTATTACAATTTTTTTATATTTAAAAATTGAAGCTGCTGTATTTTATTATTTCATTTGATCAAGTTTTCACACATTCCATATTTGATTGGTCAGTTACGTACTTGATATATTTGTTAGTAAATAGCATCTCCTGCCTTTGAATGGCCATCTCAATGAATGTTTACTGTGTTACAATTTAGATTTTTAAAAATATTTTCCTTCTATTTATATTCAATGTTATATTTTCCTTGAACACAAGACTCCATGACAAGAAAGCAACAAAAAAAAATTAATAATCTTTGAAAAATGTACAACCGATATTTATTACGAAGGTAAAAAATATTTTTCATTTGGAATCTTTTGTACTTCAGGCGAACGTCTAAGTGCTGGTACAGTCTGTCTAAGTGCTGGTACAGTCTGTCTAAAAGTGTATTTGTTACTTTAGACATGGTGGATACAATCTTATGCTTTTAATATAGGCTTAATATAGTCTCTTGAGGCCATTAGGTGTAGAAAAGTTAATAGAAATAACATGATTTATTTACACTAACTGGCTGCTATTTCAGACATAAGAACGATATGCATAAAATGATGCGCAATTTTTTTTGTGGGTTTTTTAAATATTGTTGTCACTTTTGCCTCTCATGTTTAATTTTATAAAGCGTACAATGTAGCCCAGATACATAGATTAATAAAATTTATATTTCTTGTTTCTGTTCTGCATAATTTTTTGGTACAAGTGGTTATGAATAATAATACATAAAAATGTGATGAAGAGGCTTCTTTTTATTCGAGAGTGACGTCAGGATACTATGAGTCCTGCTCAGATATTCTCAGCAGTTGAGAGTCAAGCGGCATGGGATTTTTCAAAAGCCACGACACTGTCCTTGCATTGTTAAGTCCATGTACACCTATGCATTGCTGTTTCCTTTTCATTCTTGCTGATCAACTGCCTTTTTAATTTTTTTTATATCTCTCTTATAATTGTCTATTTAAGGAGAAAAATGTGTATATTGTGTATCCCTTAATGTTTGATAGGACTTGTTTTTTAAGATCTGGCTCGTTGTAGAGGGCTACTATTATCAAGAGCCCAGATTTTAAAATTTTTGAAGAGTTACAGTCCCCAAGTTCTTAGTGACAATGCATGAAAGTGCTTTCTACACCATGTACAATGGATGATGTCCAACAACCCATGCTCTTACACTGGCACCAATGTTTATTTATCGTCTGACTTTGTGGTTGAATCATGTTACTCATTATTTTGATAAATAAATATTGAATGGTTTAAGATTTTGTGAGGTTTGCTTGTGTTTCATATCTCAATATTCCTATAATTAAATTTTGTTTTCTTTATATCCTGTTTCTTATTTTGTTCTCGTCTCATCACTGATTGTGATATGTGGAGATTAGATTTTGTTTGGGACACTTATAAACTGAGAGAATATTAAAAAAGGGCTGTAGTGGCTAAGTTGTAAGGCACTTGGCTTCTGAAACACAGGGCCTTGAGTTCGATTACCTGTGCATTAGCTATAGGAACAGATGAGCTTTACATCTGCCCCCATTGATCACAAGATCTGTAAGGGTTCCCTTTTTTAAAAAAAAAATATTTAAAGGGATAATCTTTTCTAAATATTAGATTTTATTTGCATTTAACTTTTCCCAATAAGATGAATACAGTTTTACATTACAAAGCCTATGCTTTAACAGGATGGGCAAAAACGATGTATCCAATTTAGTAGTGAAATTTATTTTTCAACATTTATTTTTTTCCAATTTTAATAAACCATTTTTCTTTTTTTTTTGTTGACAATTTTTTAAATTAGTTCCTAGAGTTTTGTTTTAACCTGCAGTTTTATCTTCACATTTCCATGGTATATATGACCTTCCCCTTTGCGAAGACAAATAAGCCACATTTGTATTGACTTATATCACAAACAGAAATTTACTTTTCATATTTTATTGGTTATGTTATGCAGATATGTTCAGAATGTTTAGGCTACACACTTTTCTGATTCTTTTCAACTCTTCTGAGTGCAAATATTTATTTCCTCGGCTAAAACACCCACAGAATTTTTTTTTTTTCTTTTTGTTCTTAAAGAGAAAAATTCAGCAGGTTTTAGAAAATAATTAAAAACAAAAAATTAAGCTCTATGTGTTAGAAAAGGGAATATTTTTGTTGATGTGTGTTTTTGTATCTGAACTAAACACAGGCAGAGTTTATCACTTTATTATGACAATAAATGGACATATCACAAACTTGGAGTTAGACTTAGTCATTGACACACTTGAAATGGCACATCACAAACTTGGAGTTTCATCAAATGAGGACATTCATTTTTTTATCATTGTTCTTTTTTTTTCCTCTAATTTTCTCTTAAAATTATCATCGCTGAGACATATTCCACCAGCCAGCTTCCTCCAGGTGTTTCAGTTCCGGGTGAGTCTCTCCTACTGTCCCCACGTCTTGACGTCTGCTTCCAAATCACTGCGCCATGTATTCCTGTGCCGTCCTCATTCTTGGGGGTTCTAGGTGAGGGCCTGCCTTATAGATGCAGTCTTGTGAAGGTTGTGGCCTATTTATCTCTGAAGGATATCTACTCAATGGGCTGCTGCTTTATTCTTCAACACAGTTCCTCATTCAAGATCTTGTCCTGCCAGCGGATCATTAGAAGGTATATATGAATACCTTGATTTTTTCATGATGGATATATAGTGACATGTAATAGTAGGCCTATTAAAAATGAAAAGGACAAACTCATACTTTAACAATTAACTTTCAAAACATTACTTTTCATTGTAATAAACGTAAAGTTCCCCTTTCAGACCTTGTGGTTTATAGGGCAGATGTATAGATCATCTGTTTCTGTGGCTTACGGTTAATGAGGTGTCATGTGGCTAACACAACGACCAACCGCCATTACTTTTCCCCGACTAATGTCAGATACCCATTAGAGTTGGGTGGACTCATAGGTGCCTAAAGATCTCAAAATTAAAAATCCCAGGATTCGAACTTGGGACCCATGGTTCAGAAGCCAAGCACTTTATTGCTCAGACACAGTGCCTCTATTTTCTTTGTAATAGTATGTCAAAATAAACGAGTGGTAAAATTATATTACAAACAAATAGAAGATACATAGTTGTTTCATACACCATCTAAACATTGAATCTTTTATTAAGGTTTTAATTAACATATATTTTTGCTACAAGAATATTGCCAACTTTAAAAAACACAAAATATCTACAATATTTTATAAGTACGTCTAGTATTGCATATTCTGAAATATGTAACTAATTTACAAAATACTGTCACTCATCCAATCAAAATACAAAACAACTTCGCCATGATCTTAAAGTGAAATGACATTTATTATGCCACATTTTTTATGATACATGCCACAAGGTACATAAAATTATACTGTAAACATTTTCATTTCTACCAATAAAGATACATACATTTGAACAGAAAGCAGTAGATTTGATAAAATCATTAAACAATATACAAATATCTTGTATACATAAAAGTCAGCAGTACTATACATCTTGTGCAAACCACTGACCTATACAAACAGAACATGGAGACAATATTGAGTAAGAAGTTTATAATCAGTTTTTTTGTTATTGAGAAAAACAAAATGGTTAACAACTGAGTTTCAAAAGTCACTTTTAATCTCAGGAAATGTTGGATCCTTTTTTATATGATGGTCTAAAAATATATTATTCCCATTTTTTATAACATTTTTCATACCACATAAAGACATTGAGGCTGATGCATAAATAATAACATATATTAATCCACAGTGGACATTAATCTTAAGCAAATATAAACATTTATGGAAGAAAGAAACCAAACAAGTTTCAAAGTTTCCACAATAGGATATGGATATGAGGAACAAGACCATTTAAAAAATTACATAGGAGAGAAGGAGTTATACTTTCTAACCCATTGAAATATTTAGTCTTGTCTTACTGTCAAGCATCTACCCCAACTATCTCTTGAGATAGTTTATGATGAGGACAGTTTCATTAAATGTTTTAAAAAATAGTCATCTCATGTGATATGTTGTTGGGCCCCCTTCAAACACAGAGCGACTATGGTTCTTCTTGAACACTTTTTCATTGGCCCTATTTTGGAGAGACACTGCCGTCCACATATATCGCAGGTTAATGTGGCTTTCGCTTCGGTGGTAGAGGAGCCGGCCATTTTTCGTATGCGCGCTTCTCTTCCAGGGCTGAGGCTCATGTTTTTTCACTGTCCATAGCGTTCTTTGTTTACGTGACATACAATCTCTTCAACACACACACAGGCATAAGAGTGAAAGACTAAAGGGTAGGTAATCAACATCTCTCTTGCTCTAGTGAGCTAGAAAGTCACGGAAAGTAACTACTCAATGTTATCATTGAATAGCTAAACTTTACATTGTCATGAACATCAACACTAATCAGTGGGAAGACATAGCTCTAGACCGCACCAGATGGTGAGAGACAGTGACCAGGAAAGCTATGGACAGCAAAAGAACATGGGTCTCAGCTCTGAAAGAGAAACGTGAAAGTGTAAAATGGCCAGCTCCTCTACCACCGTAGCGATAGCGAAAGCCACCTTGACCTGCGGTGTTTGTGAACAGGAGTGTCTTTCAAGGATTGGGCTCCACAGCCAAGGAAGTGCGAGATGAACCATTGTCATTCTACAAATGAAGGAGGCCAATGAATATTGTCATGGAAACAATATACCTGTAGTAAAAATGATAAAACTAATTAAAACATGTTCAATTTCACTAAATATATGTCAGTGCTGGTCTGAAATGTTAAAAAGACAACATCTGCACAAAGTTGTAATCACTTTTAAATGTATTACTAGATCTATATATTATATAAAAACATTGTCTCATTTTTATGTATAATGAAAATGACTATCTATTTAGAGTTCTTGGTGTTTTAGTAGAGACAGCAATTGGTAGTGAAATGTACCCAATTCTAAGCCGAATCCAATATAATATTTTTGTCCAATTTGTTACACATGAAAAAAAAATGAAAAAAAAAAAAAACATGCTCACTAAAATGTAGAACAAAGTATACTATTAAACATAGTCTTGTATATACAGTCAGTTAGTCTGGGTCTCTCAGGTACTTAGCTTTTGGGTTGCTTTATTGTTTCCAAATTTGTTAGTAACACAATAGCTTTAATGTCCCATTTTGATTTTTTTTTTTAAATGTAGTTTTATTTATTTTTCTGTTTTAAAAACAATTTGGGCACAGAATTAAATCACATTACATGATAAGGAGTTAATGTGATCATTTTTTTAAAAGCAAATTGTATAAATATAATATAAACACGCTAAAAAAATATATATTTCTTTGTTACAAATTTTTGCTGGTTTATTGTTAAATAAAGTCACAACCTTCTAGTAAAAAATAAAGATGCATACTAACAATATGAGGAATGTTTTATCTTTGTATAAAAGTGTCAATAAATATATATCGTACGAAAACAATTTGTCCAAGAAAAATATTTTAAAATATATTTAAAATGACAAAAAATATTCAAATGAATGACTAGAAAAGAATGACAATAAAAACTTGGTGGCATAATAGGAAGTTATAACATCTTGTCTCGTTGTTCAAAAAATAACAAAAGTTGGAAGATTCTGGAATTATGTCCACACAAAACTGGCTTTCAAGACTATCCTGAGTACTGTAAATCTTGCCACAACTGCTGAGTGGCAAAGATAATCTCTTGCAATTCAAGGAGGTACAACTGAACATGTTAGTCCCATTAATACTAGGCTCCTGTATCAAGCATTGGAATCAGTGCACTGTACTTTGGTGTCCCCCATTTCAAGAAACTCGGAAGAATCATGGCCATGGTAATTAAGCCCAGGATCATAAAAATTATCAGGGGGAAGAA